GTCCTCAAATAAGGTTAATATACAGTACAGGCAGACCAGGAGAAAGTGATGATACGTTTTGAAAGTTCAATAGCCACACGTCGCTTTCTGGTTCAACACAATGACAAGCTTTCCGGAACTTATTAACATTGCCTAACCATGGCCTAACCATAATTGTTTTGTTTAAATTTGTTTTCGATGCATTTCGAACATTCCCTATTTGACGGTAAATCGGCGATTGCAATTGCAAAAGGTGAAACTTCTATGCCGATTCAGAATTGTTTTATCATGTTTATTTGTTTATTTAACTAGTCGCTATTTTTACAATTTTATATTCAGATATATTATAGATGTATTGTATTTTCCCCAGTATTCCAGTAAAAATAATGGTATTACCTTATGTTTTTTTGGGGAAAGAGGGGAGGTATTTTTTTTTAAACAAGTATTTCTACATCAAGTACAATTGACGCATCTTTCGTTACATTTCTCTCACGTTTTACTTTGCTTGATGGTTTTCGAAACGCCTAGGCCTATGAGTAATATTAACAATGGAAATGAACTACACGCCGTAATAGGTTTCTAGGGATTTTTCTCCCATGCAATAGAATTATAATCAGCAATCACTACACATTATTGGTCTTCAATGTATTTGATCTCTTAATTCATATTTTCTAGTTATCCTATAGCCAAATAAATCATAAAATAAGTAATTCACTTTCCTTTTACACTTCAATCCATGAAAAAAAATATCGGTAATCAGGAGTTTGATGCGGCAGAATTTTGCATTAATCAGGCTTTACTTAATGATGATGAATATACGTAGATATAAACGGCAGTTTATTCAAAATAGCCACTGTGCTAAAATAATTTCACACGGTACCCCGTGGTTATGTCCTGCTAAGCCAATATTCCAAAGTGAGTTTAGATAAACCATTAAGCTCATAATATTAACGCACCGTTGATTTTCATAAAATAATTATAAATGTTTGCAAATTAGAAATTATTTGCCTAGATTGCAGTTAGACCTAGTTTTCGACATAGAAGACGAACTGTCAAAAGGAGGAAAATTAATAAAAGTAATACAGTAGAAACGCCTATTAAGGGAACACCTTCAGGACAAAAAAAAAAGTGTCCCCTTAATACGGGTGTCCCTTGAATAGGGGTTGGTCGTAGTGTTAAAATATATGCTTTCATTTGTTTCGTCCCTTAATATAAATGGTGTATAAAATGGGTTAATAGGGGTGTCCCAGAAAAGGGAGTTCTACAGAAGCATAAATTTAAGTTGATTAAAAAATTATAAATTGCAAGTTAAACAAAGTGTCATCAACTTGGAAACTATTAATTCTTTCATTTGAATTTACAGGTGAAACATAGGCAGGATAAAACACATTACTGTATATTGTGTATGCTTATACGGTAGCGAGCCTTTAAGTTGATCCATCTTTGGATGTTGATCGTTTGGGGCATTTTTTATGGTTCAGACTTGGCCTAAGTTGATTTTTTTTTTTTTGGTGGGGGAGGGGATTGCCGGGAGTGAACCGGGAAGGTTGGATTTTGGAAGGCGTTCATTATACACTACGACATTCAATTTATCTTGTAAGTATGGTAGCGGTGGTATAATGTATGGTATAGGGCTTACAGTACACAGTACTCAATAAAAAGCATGATGACATTTAAACGATTCAATACTATTTGAACAAGTGATCTTTGTAAACATGCCCATTGGTTAGGTGAATGAACCTTAATTCGCATTTTCGTGTGTTTTTTATTACCAACGTACTAGCTCCAGGCCGTGCAATTTGGTTTTCTCTTTTTGCTTTTTCTGTCCCGATGCGAGTCACGCCCCATTGGATTTGTGCCGAGTGTGAAAAGCGAAAGCAGTCGTTATACAGGCTTAGCTGTGATGCCTAATAATTTTCACGATGTTTTCTATTTAGTAGGTGACCATAATTCCAATTCATTAATTGATCGGCGTAATCTCGGCCCCAGGTGCTAGGCGTAAACGACATTTCAACTGTACGAAGTTGAGAGACTCCACACCGCCAAGCACACGCCGATATCCATCTCAAAATGACTCTCCGGCCTACCCATTGTTTGATTCCTTCATAGTGTTTTTGTTCGCGTAATTAAACATTTCCTATTTATGAATGGATTTAATTTGATCATAGCGCGACTTTTAATTTGTTATTCAAAACACACAAAGTCAAACGAAATGACTTGGAATTAAATGATTAGAAATAATCATCACCTCTCTAATATTAAGAACAACTGAAGTTTGCCGACAGACAATACAGTTTTAATTAATTCATTAATAACTTACAGTATATAAGTAAAAGACGTTTCAGGGCATATAAATATGCTATAAGAAAGTATAATACATACTCCAAATATTGAAATACACGCCATCGTGTTGGGATTCAATATTTCGACATTAATTATGTCATCGTCAGGATTATCTGAGATTAATCAGTGGACCTTTCTTATACACATCTAGATGTGTATAAGAGACAGATATACGACATAACACATTCACATAGAATCATCTGAGGAAGCCTGTCTCTTATACACATCTAGATGTGTATAAAAGACAGGCATTACATAATGAAGAGCAATGTCAGAACGTGTAACAAATAATTACCTTTCGTTAAAATAAAACGCTTCTCTAGAATTTTATTTCATTTATACATTTTTGCAGCTTTCTTAAGTTTATATTACCGTATATGTTCCACGAATCAATGACTAACAGTAACTTCGATTCATTTTGTATTGCAAACCAAATATTAAATATTGATGTGGAACATCATTATGTTGCACCATATTTACATCACACCTGACTACCATACATTTACTACCTATATACATATATTTATTATGTATCGTTTATCATACAGTACTTGCTATTAGAAGTCAAACTAAATTTCGATGAATGACCGATTGATTTAATAGCGATAAAACGATAAAATTATTATTATCAACAAGCTCATAAACACCTTTCGAAAACGAAAAACAAATGATTTTCACGCCGGCAATGAATTTATATATAGTACATCCAATATCACTCTGTTTTCTATATAAGATTGATGCACTAAATATAGGCATAAATTGAATGCATTTTATTGTATAGCGGTAAGTTAACTTTATCGTTCAATTGAAAATTATTAAGGAGAAAAACATTTCCCCCTCATTAACAGACGAATAAACGCGTTCATTAACAGACGAATAAACGCGTTTCTCGGAATTAATATTAACTGTAAGCATGTGGTGAGTTGTTTTACCATTTGAAGAATATTTTTTAAACGCACGTAAAATAAAACTATTGTCTAAAATATATTCATGAAAAACTCTCATTTTATTAAGATATTGAATTACTGAGTTACCAACTTGCAATGGCACAAAGGATATAAAAATATTCACACTTTTAAGATAAGAT